TTTTTTTACTGTATTTTTTTGTTTGTTTTACCCTCCTTAAAACAATGAAAGCATTTAGCTGCCACCCCATTAAAAAAATCAAAATCAAATTGAAACATTACATTAAAAGTTTTAGTTCAATATATTTTTCATGTAGCATGTTTTCACAATACAACTTGGTGTATTCAATCATATTTCTTATGTTTAAACAATGTTGGCACATAAACAAAATTGTCGCAATAAGATTTTTTTTTTTATCTTACTACGTAAGTACGTATATTATACCACGTGCATTGTTATTTTAATGCGAAAAAAAATTGTAAAGACAAGAAGATAATGTTGCAAAGAGAAAAGATTGTTTAAACTATAAACCCTAAATGTTCTTAGATGGTACAGGTTTATTTTATTTTTGCTGTGGTGGCATTAATTTGCTTCCATAGTTCGCATAATTTTGACTAAATGAATGTAACCGGTTGTCATGATCTGACAAAGCAAGACTTTGCACCAACTAACAGCACGTAAAACCACTAATTTATTCCAAATMCTCTATCCTCAGTTAATAATTCTTTATATTCTATTTCAGTCTTTACAAGATGTTGAACTAATTCTAATTTACTACCACACAGCACAGTAGTAAATCACCCTCTAYGCCTTCAGTTTACCACGATGTGGCCTACAATGTACAATGTAAAATCTAATCAACATGTATCTTGTATTTATTTTTCTAGCTTTTAGATGAAAGCTATGGGAGCAGGAGAGCTGACGTGCCAGAAATGTCTTAAAGAGGCTGCGATTTAAAGATTGTTTCAAATGACTTAACTGCTCTTAAATACTGTAATGCTTTTTTATAGTCAGTAGGAGCAAACTTTAAATTGTGGGATTTAAAAAAAAWCATTTGTGACTAACCAGTATTGGAATGTAACAATGTAAATGTAGAATTAAAATAAGAGGATCAGTGAAATCATGGTTGTTTAAGCTGATAAAATGCTGAGAAATGAATAAACTGAATATAAGAGAACATGGCTGATCATCATGTTTAAATGTAYAACAATAAGCTGACACAACTTATTATTTAAACCAATTCCATGTGAACTACAAACATGGCTGAATAGGTGTTGCTGTCCTCTGAACAAGCTGGTTGTTGCTGTTTTGGAAAGTGGTTCTATAATAAAATGATCAAAATTGGTTGTTTATGGGTGCTTCTCCCCCACACTTTTTAAACATCATGAACACAACTGACTTAATGAAAAAGAAAACCTTGTTTTTCTACTTGTTAAACTTGTTTTATATGTACTGGGAACTACACAGGGATCAGGGGAACATCCAGTAGGTACTGGGAACTACACAGGGAGCAGGGGAACATAGGTACTGGGAACTACACAGGGAGCAGGGGAACATAGGTACTGGGAACTACACAGGGAGCAGGGGAACATAGGTACTGGGAACTACACAAGGATCAGGGGAACATCCAGTAGGTACTGGGAACTACACAGGGAGCAGGGGAACA